TTAAAACATCTGGCAATGCAATGCAATCATATATTATATTATATTTTAATTTTCCTGTTTTTTATATTTCCTTATTTTATAATTTCATATATTATTTCTTTGTTTAAATATGTTAGCTAAAGGTTTTTCATTGTCATGGAACATCTGGAAATAAATGTAAAAATAAATAATATTTTCTAGGTCTAGAAAAATATATGTTAAAATAAATTTCTTTAATGAATATAATTTTTACATTTTATTTTCTAACATTTATTCTGCTAGAAATAAAATGTGCCAAAGTGATGTGTGATTTGTGAATGAATCATTCTTTCAAATCTGTACCTTCTGCTTTTTTTAGTATATAGTGGTAAAATATAGTCAGCAAGCATAAAGTTTCCTCATGCCAGCAAAAGTGCCCAGATGGCACACAGCAGATGGCACCAGTGCTTTAATGCCTATTTATTCGTTCTTGAATCATCTGATACTCAGAGGACCCTCTTTCCTTTGGATTTTGTCGTCTTATTTGTGCTAGAGATGGAAGGGGCACTCATACCAGTGTGCCAGCGAGGGCACCTGCCCGGTCCAGTGATATGCTGCCATCTGCCACCAGTGTTTTATGTCTGTGGTGAACTGATGCTGCTTTAGCCTGTGCCGGCCGCACACAAGCAGGCTTTAACATTCCCCAGCCGTGTGTTATGCCTGCCCTGATTTGAACCCCCTTCTGCCTCTGTCTGAAAATGCAAACTGACGGTTTTTGTCTGAGAAAATGATACCCGGTTTCATTCATGATGAGTGTAATGTGGCCTCTCTTTCCCTAAATGGTTAATCTGTCTGTATGGAGTGGCTCTTAGCACTTTGACTTGCATACTAAAAAGTACCCCCAGATTTTAAAACACCAATATGTTTTGCTAATTTATAAAATTGCTGCAAATTCATTGTTTATATGCTGTGTGTGTCTATTCCCTATGAAATCAAGATTTGTGGTTTTCAGTTCATGTTCATTAGCTTTGTGGTAAACTGTATGCTAATGTATATATAAACATTGGCAAAACTAGCTTTTAGCAGATATGAATTTCAAATTAATAATATTTGTCTTCTGGGGGAATTAACTAATATTGATGACTCCTCTTGTACTCAAGGGTGTATGCAAATATTTGTCCAATCGAATGTTAAATAGCCTCTCTAGTAATATAATCTCTCATCGGCTAGCAATAGCATACCTCAAATGGTTCACAGTTGTGATGTAAACTAAAAGCTATTGGCTGTTTAATAAAGCAAGGGATGAGCCCTTTAATGTGTTCTGCCCCAACTTCTTGTTTCAATTGGGAGGAAAACTTATATATTTCAATACTTTTGGGTTCTCTCACAAAACATTTAGATTTTCCCCCAAAAAACTGCATTCGCTTGCAAAAAAAAATTGTGGTCCCTCGCAAAACTTTTGCCTTCCCCCCGAGAAACGTTGCGTTTGCTTGCAAAATGATGTTTCCCCAAGACACTTGCATTCGCTTGCAAAACATTTGTCATAGAAATAATGAGGTGGGAAAAGAGCTACAGTTGTTCCAAAGGCGTAAATGTGGCATTGAGCCAACCCTACTAAGAAATGCCACTGACATCTGTTTTTTCCATCTCTCACACTCTTCTTTATCTCTATCAGTCTTGCTTTATCTTTTTCCACAGTGTTGCTGTATCGTCTTTTTTAATGCAAATGCGAAATTTGATGCTCCAAGACTGCAGGCTTGTGGAAAACCATGAGGGTTGTTTAAATGTTTTGAGAAGGTTTCTTACTGAGTTTTATGTTGTGATGATGAAGCTGTAATGATGGCGTTTGCTCTACCCTGCTGTTTCGATTCAATCCAATTGAGATTCCCTGGGCTTTACCCATTACATAATCAGATCAGCATGTGGTCACATGGCTTTGTCAGTTTGAATCTCTTGTCACTCAAATTCAGATTTGAGCGCTCTGTATATTTGTGAATTGCGTGACAGGGTCATGTAAGGTGTTTATGTTTGTCTGAGCATTCATTTTGACCTAAAAACTTGCCAAAGTCACACAAAATAAACATTAATCTCTACACCGTGTTACACAACAATTGCAAAAGCACCAACACTCCATCCATACAAATGCAAATTCTTTTGTCTGTATTTTGTCGCCTCGACCTCTTGGCTGATTTTAACCTGAAATTTGGTCTTTAAATTGTCTGACGTTGGTCTGTCTGGGTTTTGTACGTTCATTTGTCTTTATGTTTCTGGGTACACCGTAGGGATGGGACGAAATATCGTTTGACAAAATATCGCGATACAAAACGTGACGAAACGCATCGAGGTCGAAAAAAATGGATCGCGAAATAAAAGGCACTGCTGCATGATTTGCGTAGTCTATAAATAATTTAGTGTATTATATGTGTGTATGTATATGGGGCAGACATACAGTCTATGGTGGCAGGCTGGCAGCACCATCTGCTGATCAAGCAGGGTTAGGGCCTTGCAATGTCGCCCCCACCGACAACGCATAGTATTGCGTGCTTCGGCGCGTCGCGTATCAAAAACTAGGATGACACATTTGGCTACGCATCGACGCATAATGGCGGCCGAAGCGTAGCGATGTGTAGCCTTGCGCACGCGTATGCGTACCGATGCGTTGACTATGTAAGGGCCCTAAAACTAAATGAAAAAAAAACATTATATCCGGGGAACGGTGCGGTACGTCATCACGTCAAGACAGCGCATGTTGCAACAACAACACTGCAGTCTACAGCGAGCTAACAAATATTAGCATTGGCACCAACTGCCTTGCCCCCAAACAGCCGACCATGGAGTCAAATATACCGTAAAACTTCAAATAATAGCCCGGGCTTTTATTTTCCCAAATCGTCGCAAAACTGCACCGGCTTGTATTTGAGACATGCGTCTATATGAGACCGGCCTTTATAATGTAGTGTTGAGATGTTGTTCATTGAGTGTAGGCCTAGAGTCTCTAATCTCTAAAAATCTCCAAATGCTCCACGTGAAACTGCGGTCTTCCGACCTTTTACTATCGTGTCAATTGATTTTGATTAATATGCGCGAGGGAGAGAGAGCAAGACAGCGCTCGTTTTGTTTGAAGACGTGAGAGTGCGCGCGCGCGGCTGGGGCGCTCTCTCTCTCTCTCTGCTCGTTATGCGCCCTGTCAAGCACAGCAGTCAATTCTACATCACTCGCCGATCAAAAAAGGCTTTGGCGGGACACACATTTGCTTTGGCGGCCGCCAAAAAGCGGATGATCTGACGGGTTTTAGAAGGTTAAATACAACCCGAAACTAAAAAACAGACCCGGCCTCTATTTGAGACCGGCCTTTATTTACCCAAACCTGCAGCCACACCAGGCGTGTAAAAGAGACAGGCGTCTATTTGGGACTCGGCTATTATTTGAAGTTTTACGGTATGCTACATCAGTGCCCAGTGAGCGTGTCTTTTCCACAGCAGGAGACATTGTGTCTGCTCAAAGATCACTGATTACACCAGAACATGTTGATATGTTAGTTTTTTTTAAGAAGAACCAGTCCTGAGATAACTTAACCTAGGATTAGAGCAGCACTAAGGGAGTGTTCTTGTTTGTGTTTGGCCAGTTAGGCCTTGTGTTTCCCTGTGTGCAGCTGAAACAAAAATAAATAAGTTGTTGTTATACAGTAATATTTTTTTCTTTTTTTTCCTTTTTTGATATCGTATCGTGACGTATCGTATCGTGACCCTGGCATATCGAGGTGCATCGTATCGTGAGTTTAAGTGTATCGTCCCATCCCTAGTACACCGTGTTAAAGCCTGTGTGGAGAGCTTAGCATCAAGCAATTATAATGCAAATAAGGATGGCTGTTTCTCCTCGACACAGACAAAGGAGTGAATGAATCCTTCTGAGTGAACGTTTATTTCGTATGGAATGTCTGTTCCGTGGATCAGTATAAGTTAGACAGGTTGTTCAGTAAAAAAGGAAACCAATCGGCATTCCTATTCAACATTTCAACATTCCATTCATCTGTGTTGATCTAGCCATCAAGTACATTACACTAGATCTGTGGGAAAATCCAAAGCGATTTACGTCATTTACGTCCTTACGTCATTTCTATGTTTTAAATGGTTTAAAAGAAGTCTTTTTATGAGGGTGTGGAGGAAGTTTTGCCAACAGCAAACAACCTTATTAGAGGTTGAACAAGTGTAGCAAGGTGTGTCGGATATGAACTGGTTTTATGGTCTTCTTTCATAAATAATAGCCTACTTCCTTAACATGAAACTATTATTTGTATTTACTGTTTGATATTTTTTAGAAAAAAAAAACAATGAATAGAATACTCACGGAGATCATTTAAAATAAATGTGTGCATATATACTTATAAATAAATCTAAAACATAATATAGTAATAGTAAATACAATTCTGTTATCATTTACTCAGCCTTATGTTGTTCCAAAACCATAAGACTTTTGTTCATCATCGGAACACAAATGTAGATATTTTAATGAAATCTGAGAGCTTTCTGTCCCTCCATTGACACTCTATGCAACAACCATCTTGACGCAACAAGTTCATAAAGAGATCGTATAAGAAATCCATATGAATTGAACGGTTTAATCAATTTTCTGGAGAGACATGATCACTTTATACGATGAACAGATTTCATTTAGGCCTGTTATTCACATATAATAAACATTCATCAACCGCACTCATCAGTTGTAGTAAGCGGAAGCTCAAGCATGCTTGCTCAAGGCGCGAGAACCAATGAGGTTCATTCTCCTGTTATGCAGCGCGTTTGAGCTTCCGCAAGAACCAATGAGGTTTGTTCTCGTGCGTCAAGCAGGTTCGGTTTAGCTTCTGTTCGCTGATCAGTGCTTATGAGTTGAATTAAAGCCTAAATTTAGTCTGTTCATCAAATAAAGCGATTGAGTCTCTGTCATGACAATAGCAAAGTTGGACTTTGAGCACCCCCTGAAGTAAGCTAAAGTGTCTTGAATGAGATTATCAAAAGTTTAATTGTGTCTCTGGTCTCTTGCAGCCATCAAAGTCAACTGTGTGGGGTCGTGTGGCATCTCGTCCAAGCTGAACGATGCATCATGGATGCTTGAGGAGAAGTACTTGAGCAGCACGCTGTCTGTGGCCGATAAAGGTAAAACGACCAACTTCCATTCATCATCTCATTTCATTTCAGCTTTCTTTTTTTTCTAGAAATTCAATCATTCTTAATAGTATTAGTCAAAATATTCTTTCTGTGGCTCCAGTCTACAAAAAAAAAACCTTCCTCACTTTGAAGGACTTCATTGTTTACCTCTTAAATTCATATTGCTTGATCAACTGCTTGAGTCTGAAAGGTTTCCTGTTCTGAGTACGTGTCTTTCTGCTTTCTTCCTGTCTGTCTGAATGTGTCAGGTATCACATAACCCTTTAAGTATGTTAGATTTGAGTTATCCCTTTAAACAGGAAACCTTTCATTTGTTTTCTTCGATAATTATAACCGATATGTTGGCATAGAGATAATGTTTAAAGAGCATGTGTGTTGGGTTATTTCTGATAAAACTGATCTTTCAGGTAAATGTGTAGCTGTAGGCGGTATATGGTAGGAAATGTCTGTACTTAAGAGGATACATTTGCTGTTGCCAGATGAAGCCTCCGATCTAGTTTAAAGCCATTTTTGGTCCCTACTACCTGAGAGAGAAATAGATATCTTGAGAAAAATATGTTGTGTATGTGACTGTGACAGCTGTAGGCTTGGTCAACACTCAAAAACAAACAAACAAAGAAACATCTATGTGTTAGCCAATCATTAAGCTTTAAGACCCCCCCCCCCCCCCCCCATTTAAATTATGTGACTCTCTAGCTACTCTTTAGCTATTTTGTTACGAGATGTGACAAGTTCCGAGCTTTCTGTCTGCATTGAGCATGAAACTGCTGTGCAACATGACAAGGTCACTGCCAATCAGAAGATGCTTGATGCTTTGGACCAATAAGATTTCACAGTGGGTGGGCTTACCCAGCAGAACGCCACAAAAATGCAACAGTGCCTTCCCTCTTTTTCAGCTGACTTGGTTTTGGAAGTATTTTTTTGCCGTAGGGGAAAGCAATGAACCAAACCAACCAGGTATAAGGTGAATCACAAAATTACAAACTTATGAAGCAAAAAAGTATTTGAAAATCAGGCAAAAAGACGAATTGACAAATTTAAGGAGGGAAAGAACTACAATCCTATGAAGCATTGCAAATGAAACTAGAATGTACATTTCCAGAAGAAAATGTGAAGTGGTGCTTGCAGTGGCAAAACTCGCCGCTCGGTTGCTAGGGTGTGTATAGCTAGTTTTTAGTAAGATGCTAACAAAATAAGCATAATGATAGCATGATTAGCATGTTGCTAGCATCATGCTACCGTGTCTTTAGCATGATGCTAACATGATTAGCAGGTTGCTAGCATGTTTGTAGCTAGATGCTAGCATGATTAGCATGTTGCTAGCATCATGCTAGCATGATTAGCATGTTGCTAGCATCATGCTAGCATGATTAGCATGTTGCTAGCATTATGCTAGCATGATTAGCATGTTGCTAGCATCATGCTAGCATGATTAGTATGTTTCTAGCATCATGCTAGCATGATTAGCATGTTGCTAGCATCATGCTAGCATGATTGGCATGTTGCTAGCATAATGCTAGCATGATTAGCATGTTTCTAACATCATGCTAGCATGATTAGCATGTTTCTAACATCATGCTAGCATGATTAGCATGTTGCTAGCATCATGCTAGCATGATTAGCATGTTGCTAGCATCATGCTAGCATGATTAGCATGTTGCTAGCATAATGCTAGCATGATTAGCATGTTTCTAGCATCATGCTAGCATGATTAGCATGTTTCTAGCATCATGCTAGCATGATTAGCATGTTGCTAGCATCATGCTAGCATTATTAGCATGTTGCTAGCATCATGCTAGCATGATAAGCATGTTTGCTAGCATGTTTGTAGCTAGATGCTAGCATGATTAGCATGTTGCTAGCATCATGCTAGCATGATTAGCATGTTGCTAGCATCATGCTAGCATGATTAGCATGTTTCTAACATCATGCTAGCATGATTAGCATGTTGCTAGCATCATGCTAGCATGATTAGCATGTTGCTATTATCATGCTAGCATGATTAGCATGTTGCTAGCATCATGCTAGCATGATTAGCATGTTTGCTAGCATGTTTGTAGTTAGATGCTAGCATGATTAGCATGTTGCTAGCATCATGTTAGCATGATTAGCATGTTGCTAGCATCATGCTAGCATGATTAGCATGTTGCTAGCATCATGCTAATCATGCTAGCATCTAACTAGCATCATGCTAGCATGATTAGCATGTTGCTAGCATCATGCTAGCATGATTAGCATGTTGCTAGCATCATGCTAGCATGATTAGCATGTTTGCTAGCATGTTTGTAGCCAGATACTAGCAAGATTAGCATGTTGCTAGCATCATTTAGCACTTAACTAATCGATATTAGCATGTAGCTATTCACAGCTAGCATGTTTAGCATGTTGAAAGTCCTGTGTGTTAACATGAGTCAAAAGACCCAACCCCCATCGCGATACAATGTTCTGATGCTGAGATATAGCTGTTACAAAATGGTTGCTAGGGTACTCTGTTTGGTTGCTAGGGAGTGGCTTGGCAGCTGCCAATCATGAAACTCCAAAGGCTGCTTGTCAGTATGAATGATATAAACCAACTCCCATGCCTCTGTGACATTCAGAATGGAAGATATCCCTCTTTGGATTTTGGTTGCTAAGGTGCTCGACAATGGTTGCTAGGGCGTGGCCAGTAAGTGTTGAGGTGATTCATGATTGGCTGTTTGCTGCCCCGAGTCAAACTAGCCCACCCTCATGTTTCTATGACTCTTATATTCTGAGATATCCCTTTGATCTGTTTCAATGGAAGTCTATGGAACTTGTTGCTAAGGAGGTCTAAATGGTTGCTAGGGCGTGGCTTGATAGCTTCACAATGATCCTGAGAGACTGATTGGCCGTCTGAGTAAAATGAGCCCGCCCCTTTGTCTCTACGACACTGTGATCCAGAGTTATGTTCAATATAAAAGCGGTTTCTATGGTGTAGGACGGCCCATTTCATGGGCCGTCCTACACCATAGTAAGTCAATGGGGCAACTTTGGGCAGCTCCTGCCCCACAGGGGTGCAACTTTTACCCCATTGTGTGGTATATTCTTATAGAGCCTGTCAGCCTCTTTAAATGTGGTAAATTTCACGTTTCTGCGACATCCTCGTTCCGAGCTACGACTCGTCAAAGTTTGACGCAATGTTAAGTCTATGGGATTTTTCGGCCGGTTTTTCGCCCCTGGGGCGAACATCGTACCCCCGATCCCTTATAAAAGTCATAGCACACCATTCCCGAACAGGCCGCACGTTTTGACACCTCATTCATGGGTCTGTGACAAAAACTGCGGGAGGAGTAGCGCGTCAAAAAGTGGCCAGAAGAATAAGAATAAGAAGAATAAGAACTAGAATGTACATTTCCAGAAGAAAATGTGAAGTGGTGCTTGCAGTGGCAAAACTCGCCGCTCGGTTGCTAGCGTGCGGTTAGCTAGTTTTTACCAAGATGCTAGCATGATTAGCATGTTGCTAGCATCATGCTAGAATGATTAACATGTTGTTAGCATTATGCTAGCGTGATTAGCATGTTGCTAGCATGATTAGCATGTTGCTAGCATGATTAGCATGTTGCTAGCATGATGTTAGCATGATTAGCATTTTGCTAGCATGTTGATAGCATGATGCTAGCATGATTAGCATGTTGCTAGCATGATGCTAGCATGATTAGCATGTTGCTAGCATGATGCTAGCATGATTAGCATGTTGCTAGCATGATTAGCATGTTGCTAGCATCATGCTAGCATGATTAGCATGTTGTTAGCATCATGCTAGCATCATGCTAGCATGATTAGCATGTTGTTAGCATCATGCTACCAACATGCTAGCATGATTAGCATGTTGTTAGCATGATGCTAGCAAAAATAAGCATGTTGCAAACATGTTTTAGGTAGATGCTATCATGATTAGCATATTGCTAGCATCATGATTAGCATATTGCTAGCATCATGCTAGCATGATTAGCATGATGCTAGCATGATGCTAGCATGGTTGCTAAGGTGTTACTAGGGGGTTGCTAGGGTATTATGGGTGGTTGCTAGGGCGTTGCTAGGCGGTTGCTAGGGTGTTCTGGGTGGTTGCTAGGGTGTTGTTAGGCGGTTGCTAGGGTGTTCTGAGTCATTGCTAGGGTGTTGCTAGGTGGTTGCTATGGTATTCTGAGTGGTTGCTAGGGTGTTGCTAGGTGGTTGCTATGGTATTCTGGGTGGTTGCTAGGGTGTTGCTAAGCGGTTGCTAGGGTGTTCTGGGTGGTTGCTAGGGTGTTGCTAGGCGGTTGCTAGGGTGTTCTGAGTGGTTGCTAGGGTGTTGCTAGGTGGTTGCTAGGGTATTCTGGGTGGTTGCTAGGGTGTTGCTAGGCGGTTGCTAGGGTGTTCTGGGTGGTTGCTAGGGTGTTGCTAGGCGGTTGCTAGGGTGTTCTGAGTGGTTGCTAGGGTGTTGCTAGGGTGTTGCTAGGCGGTTGTTAGGGTGTTCTGGGTGGTTGCTAAGGTGTTGTGGGTGGTTGCTAGGCGGTTGCTAGGGTGTTCTGGGTGGTTGCTAGGGTGTTGCTAGGGGGTTGCTAGGGTGTTTTGGGTGGTTGCTAGGGTGTTGCTAGGCGGTTGCTAGGGTGTTCTGAGTGGTTGCTAGGGTGTTGCTAGGTGGTTGCTAGGGTGTTCTGGGTGGTTGCTAGGGTGTTGCTAGGTGGTTGCCAGGGTGTTCTGGGTGGTTGCTAGGGTGTTGCTAGGCGGTTGCTAGGGTGTTTTGAGTGGTTGCTAGGTGGTTGCTAGGGTATTCTGGGTGGTTGCTAGGTTGTTGCTAGGCGGTTGCTAGGGTATTCTGGGTGGTTGCTATGGTGTTGCTAGGCAGTTGCTAGGGTGTTTTAGGTGGTTGCTATGGTATTCTGGATGGTTGCTATGGTGTTACTAGGTGGTTGGTAGTGTTCACATTTGGTTACTATAGAGTTTTTATAATGTTCATGGCATGATTTAGCACTTAGCTAATCAATATT